TTTCTTTACTTACTTTATTACTTATGCAATTCTTGTTGGTCAACTGTCTCTTGATTTTCAATTCGCTGACCGCTGCCCCTTATCGCTGATGTGTGGTCTATTGCCTAAGAATGCCTAACCCCAATAAGCCAGCTTATCGAGGGAAGCTAGTCAGTCCGGTCTAATCATATAAAAAAAGTATTTGCCCAGTAGTGCTCAACAAGTAAATAAGAAGGTAGTCGAGGACTATCCTAAGTCTTACGCTTCATGATGGCATTTAGATGGCTCTGCTCTATAGCCAGAGTAGAGTAAGGGGGGAAAGACTCAAGTACAGTGAAAAGAACATTGGAACTAGGGAATCCAGCTGCCATTTCGCTAGATACCAGAAAGATGGGGAGGAAAGTTCTATCCAGTTGTTGGCGCCGGCGCTAAAGCGAGGAAGGGGTGCGTCATCATTTAGTTAGCAACGGAAACTGGTGAAATTGACCTAAATACGCAGGTCTAAATAGAACACTAAAGGCTTATGCCTTCACGACGTAAGGAGCGAAAACAAAATACCCTTCGTCAGCCTTTCCATCGATAGAGACATCGCCCGACCAAATACAATGTCCCAAAACGATCTAGTCAGCCTGCAGGCAACTGCTATAGATGACGCGCCTACCATGACCAGTTCAAGAGGAAGGTCACAGTAAGGGGAGAGAACACCCGGACTGTCTACTCTTATGTGTGTGGCCATGGGCTTTCCCTTCATATCACAGCCGTAAAGTCTATAAGGATAAAGTATTGGCTAAGCACCTTTGGGCGGGCCCCCTCTTAGTTCAATTTCGCTCGAAAGAAATGGTAATCTGTCTTCCCTTCATTTTTAATTCACTTATCTTCTCTTCTTCTTCGATTCCTTTCCATTAATAAAGGAGGAAATACTAGATATAGACTAAATCGGAATGAATAAGATATGAATGGAACCTAAAAACAACCAACCACCTATAGGACTGCGATAACGTCCATCCCTATGGAAATTTTCTCGAACTCGGAGTAGCTCTTTATATATTTTAGATTATGTGGCATTGAGGTCATGGAGCTTTCTTTCTAAGACATCCACTTTGACCCGGGGAGGCAGAAGGTAATCACGAATTAGTGTGTTTTCCCGTTTCCCCCATTCGATTCAAAATACGTCGCTTTAGATCAAGAATTCTATTGATTTCCTCATCGGAGACATTGCTCGCCCCTGGACCCTGTCGATACACAAAAAACCTATTCCTGATTACATATTTGACTGATTCCATATCAGGTTCCGCTGGCTGAATAGCCGGAAGCGGATTAGCAGCAGCAGCAAAACAAAAGACGGTTGAATCTTGGTAGTTGTGGTCGTGACAGGCACTCGGGCTGACAGCCATCTTAGTGAGGTAGTCTATTTCGTTGAAGTAGCGGGTCTCCCCCATCTGGTACTTCTCGTTCTAGTAAACGAAGGAACAATCTTTCTAGGAATAACCTTTTCTGTAGTTGGACTACCAGGATTATTCAATAGTAGTAGGTTCACCTCTAATACTAATAAGAAAAGGGCTTCCCCTTAGACCTTTAGACCTGACCAAGAGAAGTCACACCGGTAGCCCTCAGAAAGAAAGGTCCCTCGAGCTTTATTAGTAGTTACACGAGTGCTCAGATCAATACCGAAACACATATGGAGTGCCTGGCCTGGACCACAAAGAAAGAGCACAAGCAGGACTCCCTGCACCCGCGTGAGGGATGACTTTGAATCCATACCGAAGAGAATGGACGACTTGAAAAGGTCTCCATAGACAAAGAGACGATCTACACCGAAACAGAGAAAATACATTAGGAGCACTCATTCCTTGTACCCGGGGAACTTATGAATAAGGAAGGGGATCTACACCAGAAAAGGAGTTGACTCCCATATAGACACTTTCACTCACATTGCTTTAGGCAGTACTCTTCTTACTAAAGAAGAATACTTCCTTAAATAGGGAGCAAATCCGTCACTGGACGAGGAAGGAAAGGAAGATCTGTACAATAAAGTAGATTAGAAAGCGTTAACAAGACTATCAGACCAAGAACAGAACTGCTGGAGGAACAACTACCTAAGGCTTAAAATGACATAGAATAAGTGGAATCTCATGCAAACTGTGAGGGAGGTGGTTAACCGGTGCTTAGAGAACTACCTGGGATGCTTTACAAGCGATAGACCAAAATCAATTAAATATTCTAAATGAATCTAATCCCATCCCCTACGGACAAGGGTGAATACCCGTAAGTGAGTTCGCGCAGGAGTTTCTTGCTCTGATTCTGTAGCGGGAGTTTCCTTGTGTTGTGGAGTTGTGTGGTAAGCTTTTCGGCTTCCATCCACTGGCGACCTCAAAGCATTATTTTAAGCGCATTCCTTGTCCTTTAGCCTTATAATCGTAATCGGCCTGAAAAAGAAAGTAATAAAGAGTTCAGGGCTTAGAAGATGCAAAGCTTTCATCCGCATTCCGTCTGTGTTCTAAATAAAAGTCTTCCATTAGATAATAAAGCTCAGTTTCCATCTTCTTTTTCTTAAAGAATAGGAGCGAGACTTTCATAGTGAAGGGAGAGGCGAAGCCTAGTAACACAGCATCATGGTTTAGCCTAGCCCTTAGTTCACCGCTTTCACATGGCAGAACCCATCACAGCACAGGGAGTCTGGCGCCCCTATACACTCATATCTCGACTTGACAACCAAAATTGCTTCAAAATGTAAATTTGTAGATCGATGGTGGGGATGAGCCCATGTGTACGCCTAACCTTCGGCCACCCCTAAATGGCACTAATAAGCACACAAGACACATAGGTCTAGGGATGCCTGTTTGACTAGGCGCGATAGAATACTCAACCAAGCATTAAGCTCGATGGATTACTCCCGCACCAGATAGTTATCAGCCGCAAGGTTGCCGGCATGCCCCAATGATAAGGTACTCTCAAATCGAATATCTCGTGGCACCACATCTTTAGACAAAGGGCAGGTTTAGCTATAGCCCAGTCAACTGTTGGAGGCAAAGACAAATAAAAAAACGGAAAAGCCGAGTACACTGCATCTCCAGTGAACCATCCTACTAAGGTTTCACGAAGGTAAACACATACGTTTCACAGCTAGGGACCATGTTCAGTCCATGCCAATAAACAACAGGAGCTCGCGGTCTATCAGCACTTTAAGGGCTACACAATGGAGATCGGATCGGCCTCGTATGGAGGGCTCCCCGAAGACCTTTTCCTTTGGACCTAGCCTATCGATCAAAAATCCTACGCTAGCATGCCTACCGCACTACCGCCCCCACTCTCTACTATTGGTGGCTAATGGGTCCCTTCTCTCGCGTATCCTGTCTTTTTCGGATCGGCACCTGGCCTCCCATTTCTTATGAGACGGCAAACGAATAACTTATCTTTATCCGGGTATTGAATTGCGCGAAGAGTTTGAGGCCCGGTAAGGGGATAGCGGGTCAATGCCTTCTGCTCTTTCCGGTAAGTCGAGTAGGGCCAGTCCCACACGATTAGCATAGATAAGACAAGTCAGGTAGGGATTGGTCGGAGAAGGATGAAAAACCTTGTGTGAAGGAAAGGCTGTTTCAGTTGCTGTTTACGCGCTTCACTCACTAGGAGAAGAAGTCAGGAAAGTCCCTACTATACTTGTCTAAAAGACGAAAAGATGGATGAGCCACTCTCTCCATCCGACTCAGCTTAGCCTTTACCTGGGCACCTTGCCTTCTTTCCTTGCTTTGGTGCTAGCGTATATAAAGTAGTAGACCCCGGCTCCTTTTAGCTTTCTGTGGTATGGCTCTTATAACTCTTAGTAGCTGTTCTCTCCTTCCCTTTCCTTATTCCTTATCCTTAAGGAATTGGATATAGAACCGTTAGGAGTAGGAGCATTCGTTAACAGAGATGGATTGGCTTCGGTTGACCTTCTTACTATGGGAATGCTTGAAAAAGCTCTTATTCCAATAAGCTCGTGACTACTCTAAGAGGTAGCTGGGGACAAAAGGAATAAGTGCTCAAAGCGTTGATCAGCTGCTCTATTGGACTTATTTCCTTGGCGAGAAGGGTTAGCAGGGGAAAGCAGCCTTGTTGTTGATTAAAGTAAAGGACCAGGGGTCTAGCGCTTTTGTTTTGTGGGAAGATACTTTAGTCATTGATATCCATATTCAAATACCTAATGATTTACAAGCCTGCGGTTCGCACCCTGCAGCCCCATTTTATAAGTGCGTTTTGAACAATACCTCTTGGTACTTATCCTTTAATAAAAAAAAAAAAAGTACTCAAGACAAGGTGCATACCTTTAGGGTATAATATGTCATGATCTAGTGGGGGATTAAATCCTTTATACTAGATTGATATATCATAGTCCGGATGTCTGGCTTTCGACATACTGTACCATCTATGGCCATCGGCGCCGGTACAGGGGCAAAAACGTCGGAGTTTCCAATAGCACAGACTATTATAACGGATTTTGTATATCAGGGGTGACGATCTCAGAATCTCAGAATGAGGGAATGACGAGAATTCCAATTTATACCCAATCTTGTGAAATCACAAAAAATCATGTGCCAACGAGGTAGAAACTAAGTGTCCACCAGTCAACAAGCATTTCCGCAACCAAAAAGATTGGATCAAAAACATTGAATATTTTGGGGAGTGGATTAATAAATTTGCTGGTTTTGATCTTTCTCTTGATTACTCTTCCTTGCCTCGTGATCGTAAAGAATGGTTCATAATTGAATTTTGGTATATGTTTTTCGTTGAATTGATGAATAAAGATGAAAATATTAAGGATGTTCCAAAAACCTCATTAGTAAATGAAAAAACTAGGATTCTAAATGTGAATAGATCAATCTTTGTTAAGAATTATAAAAATCAGGTATACAAATTGTTGGATGATAACAAGAATAAAGATGTTGACTTGTTAGAATTACAAAAAGAGATAGAGGATCTTACAATGAACTTTTTCAGAAGAGGTGATCTACGCATCATGTACAAACATAATGGAAATGATGACT